TGGACACCGGGGCCATGCAGCAGCAGATGGGACACATGGGCGTGATGAGCTGAACGACAATGAAAGGCTATTGCTGACCCTTCGCAACGGACAAACAACCACGAACACCTTCTTCGAGACATGCAAGGGCGGAATATGGCACACATACAACGGTGCGTCAGGAACCGACTGCAAGCGCCTCGACTACATGCTAACGCGGCAGGCACACTGCGGCCGAGTGTCTAACGTGGTTGTCATCCCCCAGCGGGCACACGCACAGTCTATAGGTGGACTCAGATCACAACATGGTGATAGCTACGGTCAACCTCGGTGGCAGGCTCGCCCCCAACCGAGCGGTTCGGACCAAACCGAAACAGAAGCAGTTCACAGCCGGCGGGAGTTACAGGTCGAAGCAACGTGATGGGCGGTGGCTGACCGGTTCCTCCTCAACCTCGACCACGACCAAGGGGCCCTCCATGTGGAAACCATGAACGCCTCCCCCCCCCCCCCCGAACAAAAATGACATGCAGGACAGCCACATTGCGCGGCTCACTTGCAGCAGCCTCCTGTATAGGAATTAGCGTGTCCATAGTATAACCAATATACTCTTCATTGTATCGGCTTTAGTGCGGTCATACTATATCCGATCCTACTTCAATACAATGGAACCTCCCCCTCATCGTGACCAAGATTGACGCCTAGCCTAGGGTGTTTCATCATTTCCGCTGGCTCTGTGTGGGATCCCGTGCGCGCGCGCTGAAAATAGCTCGCGAAAATTGTCGAAACCCCGGGGATTTGGTCAAGAATGTCCCCCCCGGGGGACGTACAAGCCCCCCCCCCCCCCCCCCCCCGACCCAAAATGAAACCCCATCTGGGGGGGGGTTTCCCTGGTTTCCACTTGGGGGGGTCCTTGGCCCCAACCAAGACTGGGGGAACAAAACAACATCCCCCCCGGCACCAATGGTCTCCTCCAAACGGCGAGGGGCATACTTTCCCAAAAAACCCGGAAAACAAACACCCCAGAATGGTGTGAGGGCCCCCAAAACAAAACAACCTTGGAAGAAGGCCTTTCCAAACGGCGGGAAACCCCCCCCGCGATGAAAGGCAATCCGAACTCCACCACCTGGAAGAATCTCTAAACACCGTGTTAAAGGGAAGGGTGCAGCAATTTAAAACGGGGTCTACCCCCACCCTGGAAAAAAAGTGAACGGAACCCCAAACCAATCCCCAAGGGGGGAGAATTTTAAGGGACCCTACAAAACCCCCAGAAAAACGGGGGGCCTCCAAGGGAAAAAAACGGGGGGAAAACAATTTTTCTTAAAAAAAAAA